TCGATATAATCATTGCATACCATTCAGAGAAAGGAACAAAAGTATTCCCCTTATCTTCCTCGGCTCCCTTGTGTTAATAAATAGATTAATCTCGATTGGTTTATAGTATGCAGGAGGAAGAGAAAGAAGTGAAGCACAATGACAGATTCAATTTCAGGACTTCCAAGCGCACATGTTCCAACCCCCGTCCACTTTCCAACAAGTGATACCCAACCCAATCACCTGATGCCTCTGTAAATGAGACGAGACAGATCGCGAGCTACTCGAAATCGACTCGGTCAAGGCTCGATAAATACTCGGATCGAATAGACTCGACTCGAATTCTTAACAAGCCGAAATGAGCTACTTGATACTCAACTCGAAAAACTCGTGAGCAGCTCAAAAATATAATATACTAAAATTTTATTTTTTAAAAAATAAATTATTAATAATATTAACATTTATGTGTTGATTTTTTTTTTTAAAATACAATAAGACTTTTATGTATTTAAGGTTTAGGTTCAAGTTTGATGATTCAATCTTGTTAAGTTTATGGTTTTTTATTTCATTTCGAGTCTTTTCGAGCTGCTCACGAGCTTCAATTCAGGATTTCGAGTTCGAGCTTAAAATTTTTAAGCTCGCGAGTTTTCGGAGTCGAGTCCAGCTCCATTTCAGAGTTTTCGAGTCGAGCTCAGCAATACTCGTGCTCGACTCAGCTCGTTTACATTAGGGGTGTAAATGAGCCGAGTCGAGTTCGAGTATTGCTGAGCTCGACTCGAACTCAAAAACTTTAAACATAGACTCGACTCGACTCGACTCGAAAACTCGCGAGCTAAAAATTATGAAGTTCAGCTCGAACTCGAAATATATTATTGAAACTCGACTCGAACTCGAAAAGGCTCGAACTCAAAAAAAATTAGGAGCTCGATTGAAGCTCCATTTTGAGCTCGATTTAAGCTCGAACTCGAATTTGAAGCTACAAAAATCTTATATTACATTTAAAATATATAAATAATTTTCCCTTTAATCAACCATCACCAATACATTATAATATGAATGTATGAACTATAAAAAATCTAAAAAATAAAAGTACAATTACAAGAAATTTAGGATAATTAATATAAGCTTTGAAGTTTTTAAAACTTCAAATGTATTGAAAGTATTCAAAATATGGCAACAAAATGGGGAATTTATTTAATTTACCCTTACATACAAAAGGTGGAAATAAAATCTAGACCACATGCTACTTCAATCATTTATTTAATAATATTCATTTACTTTCAAATAACTCAAAGCAGAAATCAGGATATCCTTTGAGAAAGAAGAGAGGACAAAGTGTTTCTTGTTATAAATAACTATTCTGGTTTTATTCAGAGATTGCACTAAACCATGTCGCAAAAGGTTGATATTTTGCATTTTCTTAACCCACTTCATAAGAAATGAATAAATGAGAAACATACCAGGTGCACAAAGAAATCTTCAACTACAGTTGTATTACTCTTCAGAAGCAAGGATTGGAGATTAGTTCTAGATCTATGCAATATCCGAGCTACAAGGGCAATAGTATCAGCACCTGCACATCTTTCCTGCAATGTAAATGTTATGTTATTGTGGACAGATAAATTACCAAACGCTTCATTCCAGTTCTATAAACAAAATCCACATAAGTCACGATACTTTGAAGAAATCAAGAAACCAATAAGCATTTAACATAAAGATTCTCTTTGATGAGCTGGTTTGGGGCATTTTTATGAGTAATGCCACATTAACAAACAAAAATCTTTATTCCTTATTTAATACACAATGAGACATACAACTATGAAAATATTAAGTGGCTGACGAGAGAACAAGAAATTATGGGAGATTTTCCCCATCAAATCTAGAAGAAAAAGAACTTCGGAAAAAAAATATTATGGTCATCCTAAAAATCAGTAAATACCTTATCTAAAGATATTTAGTACATACCTTTAGACCAACGGAGGTGGTTGCCGGAGAACCAAAATTTGTATTTTGAGGAGCAGTGGATGTCAAATCTGCATGTCCAGTTGGAGATGAGAAGGATCCTGATGAATTTTTTATTCACTCTTCACAATCTTGTGTTATTCTTGATAAGGCATTCTTTAACCGATCTAGGAATAAAAAAAATTAGGAAAATGCATAAATGAGAAGTGAACACATAATTTAAAGACAAATGAATTGATATTAAATTCAAATTTCAGATACGTACGTACTTCCAACAAGAGCGAATGATTAAAATTTGAAATAACCTTTCTTTTCACAATCTTGTGTTATTCTTGATAAGGCATTCTTTTCGATATTTTCTTACGTACATGCATCCAACAAACACAATTACTTGAACCCGAAGCAAACAATTTTGATTAATATTACTCTTTAAATTGAAATCGATGATGATATTAAATTCAAATTTCAGATACGCAATGAATTTATATTCTAATTATACGAAAAATTAATGAAATTCGATCCTTACTCGGCCTTACTTCGAATAGAAATGTCTCAATATGGTATATGAAAATTATAAAAAGAAAAAGAAAAAGATAAACACAAGCATCTTTAAGGCAATAACTGGGCAAATTCTTAGCTCTTTGAAGCTTGCTTTTCCTTGGACTTTTGGATCTTCAGAACTTTCTTCACAATCTTCTGCTCTTCGACCAAGAAGGCTCGAATTATCCTTCGAAAGACGGAAAGAAAACAATCAGATTTGCATCAATGACAACCAACAAAGACCAAAGCTAGCATCCATTATCATGTAACAGCAAATAAACAATGGAGGAGTTTCTAATTTATACCTCTCCCGGACAGCACTTCCTGACAAAACACCACCATAAGCACGATTCACAGCCGGCGATTCCTCGGCAATCTAGACCTCATGTATTCAGCAGGTCTCAAGTGAGGAATCTGTGGTGAACCCATGTAAGAGAAGCATAAGAACAACCTCAAAAACTTCACAACTCAAGAGTGTAATCAACCAAATGTTCAGTAAGACCCTAGTTGAGATAGTAAACATATAACGATTAAATCTAAAAAGGTACCCCATAATTCTTTTTTGGTCAAAAAGGTTTTACATTCGAACTTAATATACAGAAAACATGGTTATCTAAAGTGATATAGTTCATAAACAGCTTCAAAAGTGAAAACCTGAGGCAGAGAATAAATAACTGACAGTTAAATAGTCTTCTTCTTTAAACTCCTGACAAACTCCTAACAAGAGCGAATCCAGATTTTGAAGAGTCCTTCCTAGCCAAAACTGCATTAGTATTTAAAATTGTGAAAAGAAAGGTTATTTCAAATTTTAATCCAAAATCAAGTATAATCCAGTAATAAGAATGGGCAAAAGATGTGTCTGTGGGTTTTGAGAGGGTCTCGGCTAAGGTTGTTTGAGGGTAAAAGGAGAAGGCCAAACCTATTTTAATGTTGAATGTAGAAATTTACCTGGTCATCGGGGTTTGGTGGTCGAAGTGTAGAACTCCGTTGAAGAAAGGAGAGAGGAGAGACACTGTTTTCTGGTTATGGGTCGTGCGTGAGAATGAGAGGGGGAGAGTTGGAGAATGTGAGGCTTGAGCGGCTGAATATTTAGTTTAGGTTTGTTTTAATTTAGGTTTAGCTTAAATCGAATAGAATCAATTGTATATAAGACCATGTAGTTTATGCGTATTGTGTATTTAAATTATTGGTTTAATTCCAATTTTGTATGTTTAATTTTACATTTACGTGAATTTAATCATCATTCTAAAGTTAATATATTTAGCTTAAATTAGTCATCATATTTAGGTTTCTCTTAATTTAGTCTCTATTTAGGATTGTTTTCTTTAATTAGTTGTGTATATTTATTTTGCATGTTAATATGTTTATGTATAAGTATGCGAATGATTTATTTAGGAGTCACATAACATCATTTTGCATAATTTGTATGTTACCTTCATGTGCATAACTTAATTCCCTATCACATAATCGGATTAAGGGTTTAGTGGTCAGGTTTTATGGTTTAAGATTTAGTGTTTAAGGTTTAAGATTTAGTGTTTACGATTTAAGGTTTAAGGTTTAAATCTTAGTTTTTAGGGTTTAGGGTTCATTACAAAGACATTAATTAATCGACTTGATACTGATAAATAAGGTAAGTACAATATAATATATTGATATTAAATGATCAAACCCTTGATATTTATGATATTTGAACTCGAAACCTCAAAATATAACAACAATTTAAAAAATTAGTTATTAAAAATATTATCATTAGAAATATATTAAATATTTGTCATTAGATAAATAATTTTTATTAATTTAAAATAAATATAAGAATATTCATTCAAAAATAATTTTTAACCATTTTCAATTTTTCTATTGTTTGACTATTTTTTTCTTATTTTTTAATTTATTTTTCTATGTTGTCAAGTATTTGTGCAGTAAAAAGTTAAAAAAGAAAGAAAAAAATCAATCAAGCACGTATAATCTAACATGTGCTTAATTAAATGAGTTTTTATTTTTCTATTAGTAATATACAATGTAACAATGACTTGGACTGGTTAATTAAAAAAATTAAAATTTGAAGGTAATTATATTATAGAAATTTTAATATATTTTTAAAATTTTATAATTATCAATAATATATTTTTAATATATTTTTTATAATGTAATTTTAAAAAATTTAAAATTATAATATAACATTTTTTTCGAGTTGCTCACGAACTTTTCGAGTCGAATATCGAGTAGCTCGTTTCGGCTCATTAAGAACTTGAGTCGAGTCCATTCCATCCGAGTATTTATCGAGCCTTGATCGAGTCGATCTCGAGTTGCTCGCGATCTATCTTGTCTCATTTACAACCCTAGTTTACACCCCTATATGCCACTGCCACCGCTGGGGAAAATATTAAGTTACCCAGTTAATGCTTTCCCTGTGTGGCTGTGGGACTAGCAACACCCACCACAGGTATCCAGTTCCAACCCCCTGTCCACTTTCCAACTACGAATCATATCATGATTATGCATGTATGCATGAACCAAAATAATAAAACCGGACATAATATTAACTATTCAACAGACATACTTGCAGGAATCCCAAGTTACAACAAAATCCAGTCCCTGATCATATAATCATCTAGCTTGGTTCACTATTTTTGAAACATAAAATGCATGAAAGAACACTGCCCGTCGGCACATGAACCTGATAATATGGTATACCAAGTTATACCGAGGCGAGAATTAAAGCATCATTGACACAATGATAGGATAGGTTACTTCTTAGCAAATGTGATAGCCATGGGATATTGAGGGGCGATTTTGAAACCCTGAAGGTTCTGCATTGCTGTAGAAGACTGATCTTCATCTTCATACTCTACAAATGCAATACCTGGCTTTGCTTCAATCATTCGGACTTCCTTGAACCCAGGGTACTGTTCGAAAAGCAGCTGCAGCATCATGCTTGTTGTCTCGTGAGGTAAATTCTGTATGAACAGAATATTGTTTGGTGCAGCCTGCTCTTGGGCATTCACATTTCCATGATGGAAAGGAGCCTGCTCACAATCAGATAAAAGAGTTTTTCCGTATAGCATGTCAGCAAAATCAATACCTCTTAGTAAAAAATGCATCCCAAAAAGAAGGGTAAGGGCATCATATCTTAACACTGTCTAAGCACTGCAATCAAAATACATGAGCTGTGCAATTCCCATGGGTAAAACCGTTGGCTTAAGAGGGGGGGGGGGGGGAGATGCAGGAAGCAATGATCCAATCAGAAATAATTCCACAAATTACCTTTGGACCGCCATTACTTTGAGAGCCTGTGCCGTTTGGAATTGCAGATTGTTGTGCCTCCTCCGCACGTTGTTTCCTTTCAGCTGAAAGTTCATAGTGTATCAGAGGATGAGGATGTCATCAAATTATAAACCAGTTGAAATAGATGAACATTAATAAGGAAACCAGAAGGGGGCAAAATTATAAGTTCTAAGCCCCCAAGAAAGCAACTCTACATCGACTGCTTGTCATTTGTCTTTCTTTGCAAATTTAGCATTTCTATACAAACAGCAAATTCAAAAGTTAAAATGTCTGGTACCAGAATAGCACCATTAAACAATAACCCAATGGTTCAATAAAGGCATTTATTCCCCACAGAAATTAACAGAAGTGCTATGACAACATCGTAAGAGGAAATTGTATTATCCAGCCTCATTGCACAAGAAATTGGTGGTCATACTGAAATGTGATTTTTTTGAAGTAAAGAAAACCTAAACATCCAAGTTCTAACTGAAAAAAGTACCATGAATTTAGAAACTATCTTCTGTTACTCCTGTTTTTCTTGTGAAAAGAAGGCAGATTAGTGATGAAAATATTTGGTCTACATGTGAATTTCAACATTCTACTTTACGAAAACTGAAAAGTTAATCCTACTTTAATTTGTCAAATCTGATCCTCGTTTTTTACGAATATTAAGAAGTTGGTCGGATTGGGTAACACTGTTAAACTTTACCATTAAATTGCTAGCCTGAAAATCAACATTTCAGCAATTTATATACGAGGAATTAGCAAAAATCAACAGTTTTCATAAAGTATAGGGATGAAATCCATAATTAGAGTCATATATGCTTGACTGCAATAATTACATTTACACAATAACACAATGAAATATAGGAGAAATCATTTTGTTCAAGTCAATAAAGGCCATGAGTTATGTATATAGAAAATATTAAAGATCTAAAAGGAGGAGTCACCTTTTTCTTCTTGCTTCTTCTTCTTTTCTCTGGGAACAAAGCTTCCATCATTTTTGGCAATACAATCAGATTTTGTCTTTGCATATTGTATCCGCTGCACCAAATCAATCATACAGACAATCAAATCTAAGAATCACCAGCAACTAAAACCACATAAATTAAGCCTGGGATTCAATCTGTTTGAAATCAAAAGTGATGCCTAGACAATGAAGGAAGTTTTGTTCAAGCAGCCATCTCAAGGAATTTACGAACATGGGGAGGTAGCAATAGTTTTAATTGCAAATGGTGCTATTGATAGGTAGAAAACTCTTCCTTGGGTTCAGAAGGAACAATTTCGCTAATTTAAAACAAAAACTAAAATGGCTCCTCAAATTTCAGCAAAATGGGTTCACACGATAATTTTCAGGTGGCTCAGTATCATCTCCAGAGGAACCGAACTTACAATGAAACCATTGAGTGATAGAAACCCCAAATCAAATGCAGCACAAGCATCATTAAAGTTAAAAGAATGAGACATTGTTCACTTCGATTTCGGTTTTTGAAGCAATCAATGTCACGACATATTAAGGTACTCACCATAGGTTTATCATAAAACGGAAAATTTTGCATTTGACGGAAGGCATTGCTAGCAGCCGTCAACTCGTCAAACACAACCCAAGCTTGTCCACGAAGTTTGGGCGTCTTCAAGGCAACAACATCCAAAATCCTTCCATATTGAGAAAATAAACAATAAAGTGATCTCTTTGATTCTGAAAGAGAGAGAGAGAGAGAGAGAGAGAGAGAGAGAGAGAGAGAGAGGAGGAGAAATTGTTAATGGAAATCAATCCCAGTTCAAGTCCAAACCGCTTAAGCATCATTTGGATAAGTACGATTTTCAACTTCAATTTGCGAGTAAAAAGGGCACCGTTAGGGTTAAACTTAAACCCTACAATTAGGAAAACAAAAATGAGAGAGACAGATGGGTGTGCGTACCTTCTTTTTTTTATCTTCTCATTGAGGTTCTTGATGTAAATAGCTTGATTTGGAGGTATATCCGCAGTTAGCATTTTTGCTGTAATTGCCCAGTACGGAGGTAAGTATGAATACTGTAGGGACTGGAGGAGGCTTAGGAAGAAGAAAGGAGTTGAGAGTGTTAAGCCAATGGGCTTTTGATGTTACAGCTCTACCTCCACTTTTATTAGGCTTTACACTATCGGATCCATCACTCGCAATACCAACCTCCTTTTACCTATTTAATTCACGGCTTGTTACCGGTCGGCTTTTTATAAATTGCAAGTGAAATTAAAATTTTCCTATTGTTTTACCCTATAATTTTAAAAGGACTTAATTGATATGATGTACCTCGTTGTTTTAAAAGGACTTAATTAAAATTTTCCTATTGTTTTAAACAAAAAATTATCACTATTATTAAAATTTTAGTTAATTATAATGAATGTATCTCGTTATTTGTATTCTCCGAATTTATATTGATATGATGCTTGCACTCTATCATCTTAACTTGTTTTGAAGACGTTAAGTTTAGATCCATCATCTATGTTAAAAAGATAAAATCTAAGCATGCATACTTAACAGAAAATTTTACAAATCAAGCATACCGTATCATGACACTCTACTAGTTTATCGGTATATGTATTTGAAATAAGAAATATTATACTATTATGGTATTGATACATTGTCAGTACCGATTTTGTGATGCCCGCGTACTGATACACATGAGCTAAGGTACTAATACTACATGCTTGATTCAAATTGAGAATTCGGAATTGGATTTCAAAAATATGGTTCGAACGTAGGAATTAAGGTTCAATAGTTATAATTGGGGTTCTAATTTAAGAATTATGGTAATCAATTTGGGAACTAGAGCTCTACAATTGGACTAATTAGAAAATTAGGGTTAGAGTTTAGGAATTAGGGGATTAGGGAAAGATGATCAGAGACGATAGTCCCACACCAACATCCACAACCACTGTTGATGAAGGCGCCGACAACCGGTGAGGCCCCACCCACCGGTCACGGCTTGGACGGACGACCAAGTTCAAAACTAAGTAAAATTAATCAAGCTTACCTTAATAAGTTGGTTGCGCGAATGGCGGTGAACGACATCCACGTCAGAAAGGATAAATGACAAAGATTCAATCAACGATGACAAATGATATCGACAACGACAACAGCGATGAGAACTTCAAAGCTTTAAAACAAATTAGGGTTTTTTAATTTATGGGTTACTATTTGTTGTATTTTAAATAAATTACATTTAGATTTTCAACTAAATTATAATTATACGATGAGTATTTTATAATTTTAATGTTTTATAAATTAATTTATCGGTGTTCATCGTTAGTGGTGCTCATCGGTGCTCATCGAGTGTGACAGAATCATCCTTTAACTCATTTATGTATTGTTGTTGTTGTTGTTATTAAATAATTTAAAAAAAATTTATTTAGGGTTAACTACATGATTAATCACTTGGGTTTGTATTTTGTTAATTTTTCCTAAATGATTTTAAAAAATATAATATATGATCACTTTTATTTTTATGGTCACCACAAGTTAATTGGCAGTTAAATATTTTGGTATAATCACATTTGGTCTTTTTATTTACATATTCTTTCAATTTAGTCATACTTTTAATAAATTAAAATAAATTTAATCCTCCAATCGAATAATGTCATGTTTCACCAGTGCCAAAGGGATTCAAATCTGGGTCGGTGGGAAATCAAGCATGCACCTAGCCATTGAGGCAAGACTAATGCTTGATTTAACATAGACAACATAATGTGTATATTTTATATTTTAATGTATAAATACTTAAGTTAAATTCATAATATTTTTTATATATTAACTTTAAGAAAAAATTATATTAACTTATTAAATATATTTTATTATTAATTTAATTTAAAAAAATTATTTTTATTTTAATTTAAAAATATATTTCCTTCTTATCTAAACTTTGAAAATATATTTATTATTATTTTAACTTTTCAAAGTATATATAGTGTCACGTGTCACCATTTGGTTGGGTGACTAACTTTATTTTAATTTATTAAAAGTAAAACTAAATTGAGAGAATATATAAATAATATGGACCAAATGTGTGATTATACCAAAATATTTAACTGTCATGTCACATAATCTGTTAACTGTTAACATCATTTAACTCGTGATGACCATATCTTAATTAAATAAAAACGAAAGTGATCATATCTTAATTAAATAAAACGAAAGTAATTGTGTATATTTTTTTAAATCAATAAGAAAAAAATGGACAAAACACAAATATAAATGATCAATCATGTAGTTAACCCTTGTATTTAATGTCACATTTCGTGCTCATCCATCCTATGAATGTTGACTTAATATAAATGGTATTCAATACCAACACATCTATGAAATTGGTCTTAATTTAAAATAATTTATTAAATCTTTAATATTTTAAATTTCTATCAATATAAATACTCGCACAACAAATCTTTTAATTTATTTTTAACTACATAAAAATAAAAAATTAAAATTAAAATATTTTTAAAAAAAAATCAGTGTGCTTCAAATCTATAATAAATTTTGTTAAAGATCGGTTCAGATCGTATCTCCGACGTCACAAATTTTTCGAACTCTGTTATTATGTAAATTGTAACACCCCAATTTTTGGGCTAAAATTAAGAAATTATAAAGTGGTGGATTTAATTTGGTATTTTGAAAGAAATAGTGGGTTAAATTGTAAAATTTTAAAGTTGGCAGACCGTTTTATGAAGTGCAGGAAGTTCATTGGCTAAACTCTTGGTTTAGCCATATTTAATTATGAGATGTTATAAACCCCTAATCTCCCGTATGTTTATGGAAATTTTTCCAATTTTCCCTCTCCCGTCAACCCCTCTTTCAACTCCGATCTACTCGTCGTCCGACCTCTGATCGACGAGCAGAAACCACCATCGTGTTCGTTGTCAACCGAGGAACAAAACCCCTCAAACCTTTCGTCGTGAATCGTCGTCGTTCGTCGTTAATTTCAGTCGGAAGTATCGTCAGTAATAACTCAATTTTAGTTGGTTTTTCATCGATTCACGACGATCGGGTCATCCGTTTACGACACCTCCCGCACCATCGTGTTCGTTGGATTGTTCCGAGTCCGCCGGTGTCATCCTTGGTCTACGTCGACGGCGGCGTGTGAGGAGGTGAAGCGGTCAAAGTTTTCGATTTGTTGAAATCGAGCTCTCCGCCGTTCAAAATTTTGAACCGAACTTTGTAAGTATCTTGAAATCGCTCAAAATAATTTTTAAGAATTTTTCCGTGATTTTTAGGCAGCCAGAAGGGGCCCTTTGCGCCCCCACGCGTCGCCACTGCGCGTGGGGATGGTCCAAGTGTCTGGTTTGACCGGTTTTGGTGCATAGTTGACCGGTTTGACCGGTCATAACCCGACCCGACCCGTTTACCCGACCTGTTGACCCGACCCGTTTACCCGACCCATTGACCGTTGACCCGTTGACCGGCGTTGATCACCATTGACCAAATTTTTGACCGGGCATTAAACGACCTTTGACTTCAACCGAGTATACCTATCCAGACATTTTTCGACGTTCCAAATCTGATTCCGCTGTCCGTTTTTTGAAATTCGAACCCGAAGGCCTCAAAATTGCCTTGTCAAACCCGTTGACTTTGATTTTGACCGAAAATTTGAAATTTTCGAAAAGTCATATTTTATACTTTCGACGTCCTGAATCCGAATCCGAAGTCCGTTTTGCCAAATTCAAACCCGGTAAGCTGTTTTCACTGATTTATCACCCGATTCGATCTGTTTATCGTAATTAAGCTCCATTTTTTATATAATTTATGTTGATATGTATCTGAGGAATTATTGGAAGTTGAATTGAAGATCAAAGGCGTTCAAATGGAATTTTTATGGTCAATCAGTATTGCATGGAAATCGAGGTAATACTTTACTACCTCTTTATGCTTTATAGAACATGTTGGTATTGGTAAATGCATGAATGGAAATGTTTGGTCTCGTATGTATAATTAATTAAGATCTACACTAGATACGAATACGGTAGAAAGTAGGTAACTGAATATGGCTCAGATTACTATTATAAGAAATTGGAGGACAGTTGGAATTAAATTACAAGTTCTTGAATTAAGTGATAAAAGAATCAACCATGGATATGTAGATTATAATTTATCTCATTAAAGGTACTTAGATGATAAATTATGATAATGTTTCGATTAGGTAAAATTACGAAATTACCCTTATGTTGGAAAATGACAAGAATTGTGCCTGGAAGTGGATTAATAAATCTGAAAAGAATTATTGATCTGCTAAAACTATTGATGTGCATAAGAAATGTTAGTTTTACTTGGAAATTATGGATAACCGGTTTTTAACCCCAAGAAGGTTTATACTAGATACTAGAAGTCTTTTAAGGAATCATTTCAAGATCAAAGAATGTTCGAGGAAGCAATTAATCATAGGATCTCTATATTATATTATTTTCGTTAAGAGCTAATATCGAAATTATCTGGCTAAGAAATTATGAAAATGCCCTTGAAAGGTAAAATAGTCAGAGTTGACCCTGAAGGAGAAAACACTTTGAGAATTTGTACTTAACTCGATTAAGTACAAATTTAATTATTAATATTATGTCTTTGTAAAGAAAAATTCATAATATTGCGTTTGTAAAATCCAAGAAGGCACTTGACCCGAAAATATCCGAGTTATGAGTAAATACCTGAAGAACAATTTATCGGAGGGTGTTCTTTTATTAGAATTGTTCGAACGGACTGGAAGAGATGATAAATTGGAATTAAATAATAAGACCGGATGGAGGAAAAAGATTGAAATACCGTGGATCTGTAAAATGACCAAATTACCCCTGTAATGGAAATGACCCAAGACTATCTTATGATTGGAATAAAACTGAAAACCAAAATTACCAAAATACCCTTATGGCCTATATTAAGTAAATGTCTTGGATTAATTAAGGAATCCAAATAAGCATAGGTATTGGACTACCTTTAAAAGTTATAGAACACAACTTAAGTGAGTCGATCAACCGTAATGATAATTTTGTTAGATATTACTTGAACGACATAGATATTACTTGAATGCGTGTTCGTCTACTCAAGTTTAGTTCAATGATAATTTTGGAAGTATTCAGCTCAGCTCAACTCTAGCTCGTATTCAGCATCATCTGGTATTTCTGTATTACTGAGCTTTCTGAAGCTCACTCTATTACTCACCATTGCAGGTTAAAAGAATTGTACCAGTGCAGTTATCGACATCAGTAAAGGAATTCTTCCGGCGTTGTTTTCAGAGAATGGTACATGTGATTAGGGGGCTTGTAATTGTATTTTATTTTATATACGAGTCCGAAAATTTGTTTTATTTTTATATAGTGACAAATGATTTTTATAAGTTTGCATGTTCTGATAAAAAGTTTTAAAATTTTCGCTATTTTTACAGTGGGTCGCTCCGGTGGCCCAAATGTGACAACCCAGATCGGATCTGGTTACCCTTATCGGTCTGTGGGGGTTACATAAATTTTTGTCTTAGAACTCTTAGGGTGTGTTTGGTCGGGGAAATGTTATTCCCGGTAATCTTACATTACCAATAGTGGATTTTTTAGGCTATATTATCGGGAATGCCATTACCTCCTTTTCCTTAGGTATTGTTGGATTACCGGCGTTTTGGACTAAAATGCCCTTAAATTGTTTTTCAAAAATATCCTTATTCTGTCATTGAATAATAAAAATTCTACGAATGTTAAATTACAAATTTATCCTTAAACTATTTTAGATTTACAAAAAAATCTATAATTAAAATTTGTTATGAAGTTCAGGGGTTAAAATAAAATTTTACCCTTTCATTAAACCTTTTATATTTTCAATTTTGTAAAAAAATTATATAAATTTTATGAATTTAAATTTTTTAAAGAAAATATATAAATATTTTCCAACTTGGTAAAAAAACAAATATAATAAGGACAATTTGGTCAAATATACATTCCAATAATCTTTTATTCATTTAACCAAATACGGTAATCTTACATTCCTGCTAAACCAACCAAACACAAAATACAACATTCCCAGTAATCTTATTCCTTGGTAATCTTTTATTTCCATTGATAATCTTACATTCCGTGAACCAAACGCACCCTTAGAGTTTATGGCATGTATAATCGATTTTAGTAATGTTTTCTCTTGTACCTATTTTGTGATTATGGGTCTAAGTGTGTGTATGAAGTAAGTAAACATGATCTTAGATGCTTGGCTAGTATAATGCATAATGATGAAGTAAGATATTTAGAATGTGAATGCCTAAAAGGTGTAAGATCATTTATAAAGGTAAATTGAATGTGATTCAAAGTCATTGGTGGACACGAAGGTCTCTCTTGTCACGGAGCTCTCATGAGAAGGACGAATATGTAGGATAGAAACGTCTCTAGGGTGATTGATTTTCTCATCTCGTTATCAGTTTTGATAGGGTTTTAACATGTACGGAATCAGAATTCTATGTTAAAGAGAGTGAACTTTTTTAAAAATTTAAGAGATAAACTCATAAGATTTTAAAAGTAAGAACAAATTATTAATATAAAATATAAAAAAATTAAAATATACTAATTTGAAAATTTTAAAGAAGACAATTACTCATAACTGTCCCTTGAATGCATCCTTAACTTTTAGAACACTGTCGAGGAGAGTTTAAGAAAAGACAACCTAATTTAAGGTTGAGAAAAGAAGCGACTGAAAATGTTATAAAATTCATAACATTTTAGGTTGGGTGCAACTTAAAATTTTAATTTTTCTTAATACTTTTCGGTTGAGAACATTCTTTATAACATTTTAGTTTGTGTCCAATAAAAAATGTTATGATTTTTATAATATTTCGATAGCATCCATTTCTTTCCATTTCTTAACCTTAAATTAGAATGCGTTAGGATAAAAATACCATGCTATCGACTTTTGAAGCCTCTCTCTTCTATTATGTTATTTTCCCTTTTATGCTCGTACGACACACCTTTTCGTCCGGGAACAATATTCTCAACAACCCCGATTTAGTAGGATTCATAAAAAACATAACGTTAGAATTTTACTAGGATTCAAACTCCTAAAAATAGAATATAGTTTTATTAGAATTCAAACTCTTAATAATAGGATAGAGTTCTACTATAATTCAAACTCCTAAAAATAGGATAAAGTTCTACTATAATTCAAACTCCTAAAAATAGAATCCACAAGCGTTATAAATAGCCATTGTAATTCACTATTGTAATACACAATTTACATACAAAAATACAGAGGAAAGCACGAAAAAAATACAAAGGCAAAGCTATTGTAAACGATTCGAAAAAGAAATAAAATGTAGCATCTTTTTTACCTTGATTCGTTCATTTCTCGCATGTGCATGATATTTTTCTTGAGATTTGGTTCGAATAACCCAAAACGTTGGTTGCGCCGATGACCAAAAAGGGGTGGGGTTTCGAATTTCGAACCTAGATCTACCCCCGAAGTGTGTTTCTGTTTTTAAATATTTAATTCTCCCCCCTAAATCAATTTTTTTTTGCTTCTAAATTTGCCATCGATTTGTTTTTCTTTTTGATTCGGTCCCTTACATTTACGTTTTAATTATTATTATTTTATTTATTTAACTTTATTTATACGCACATTTCCTTTATTACTCATTTTATTTAATTGCTTTGTTATTTTTCTTTTCTTTTTTTCATGTAATAGTTTTTTACATTTTATGCATTTTCTTTTTTACTTTAGTATATATTTTTATTTTTTAGATTACATATATATATATATATATATATATATATATATGTTATTTTTATTATTTGTTTTATTAATTTATATATATATTACTATTTTTATGTTTTTATTATATATATATATATTATTTTACTTTATTATTATTATTTATTATTATTATTATTATTTATTTGTTTTATTTATATATTTTTTCTTCTTTTTTTATTTTTATTTATTTATTTTACTCACTATTTTATCTTTGCTTTCTTTATCTTATCTTTTATTTAATTTATTTTTTCTACATTTTAATTTAATTAATTAATTAATTTATTTCTTGCATTTTTATCTAATGTTGTTTTTTGACCTTCTTAAGGGCACACCTTTAAAATTATCTAAGGTAAGTAATTGAGATCGTATTTTTACCTTTTAATTTTAAATTATAATTTTCTTAATTTAAGACAACTGGAAATTGCGTAGTACCGAAAGGGCAGTTCAAGGGTGCTAACCCTTCCTTGACTGTAACTGACTCCTGAATCCGACACATCTTTGAAAAGACGCAGATCAGGTAAGAAATAGGGTATCCGATCAACCCATTTGTTTTAAAATAAGTGATCGGTGGCGACTCCAATTCGTTTAATCCAAGTCGAAGCCCAATTTCAGGCCCAACCAAAAGACGGTTCCGACAGTTTGGCGACTCCACTGGGGACAGGTAAGTGAGCCAGGCTAAGGTAATTTCCAATTGTCTTTTTAACGAAAAGGGTAATTTTAAATTTTAAGATAACATTTCGATCCTTATTGCTTACTTTTGATTATATTTTCGAGTAAATAGTTGTACTAACCATTGTTTTTAATGATTTCAGCATCCCAAACTTATTTTTCACTTAAGGCTCTAAATTCGAGCTCCGAACCCTACTTAAGTGGGGGTGAAAGCGACACCTTCGTGTGAATTTATTCACCGCACAGGCCTAGCAAGTAACCTTCGGGATTCATATATCTTATGTCTTCGTGTGAATTTATTCACCGCACATACATAAGGGAATGTGTCCTCTCGAGTTTAACTTAGTCCACACAAGCTTGTAATAGGCTTAGGACTAAGGGTCTGGCAAGCCCAATGGGGCACCAACAAGGAGAACTCGAGTACATTTTTTTTAGAACCTAAACCGAGAGAGTATAGGGAATTAGAGACCACCCCAAAACCTCATTTCCAGACCCTAGGTTGCTTTGATATTATTTCATGTTTTATTTCATATTCAAAGCATGTGAACTAGAAATTTATGCGGTTAGGACTTGTTCAAAATCAACTTGCGGGATAAAGATCATGTCTGGGTAAGAATACAAAGCATGTGGGGTAGATATCATGTGGGGTAGGATTTTTCATTTTATTATTATTTGAATTTACCTCACTAACTTTTTTATTTTTGTCCTCTTTTATTTTGTTTTCATCATTCACATCATTTAAAAGAGGTGTTGGTCCATTAAAAACGTGTTTGTTAAACTTGAATAATCTGTATTAATGGACAAAGGGGTTGTAATACAAGAGATGAAAATGCAGTGGACAATCTACAAGGTGACTATATGTCACATTCAATCCAGAAGACGTGGTGCCCACAATTGAAGAGTATATCACTCTGCTGCATTATAAATGACTCAGAATGAACTGGGTCTACATCAAGCGCAATGAAAGTCTATATTTGAAGAACTGACTGACAGAGGTTGCAGGGGCAAGATGAAGGTTACTGATATTGGGAGTCCCTTCAAATACAACAATGGCAAAACGATAGCTGAAATCGGAGACCATTTCTAACGAATTCAAGAAATAGGTAAAAAAATTTCATATAGTTCCTATCAATTGAGGGCCTTAATGACGTATTCGTTGGGAACATGTTCATCAAAAGATAAATGCCAGAGATGCAGTAATTCGAGACTTCTTGGGTCAGTACAAAAAGCAACTTAACATTTTCACGGTTCATCTAGAAAACCCGGAGCGGTTCGACAGGTTATTCAACCGGTGACAGACGAAGGCAGAAGACTAGTCAACATGTCAGAAGCTGTCAGGATATTTTTGTCTCTTAAAAGATAAAACATTTTTGTCCCCAATAAGGATTATTTATAATAACATACATGTTTTCGGATTAATGCCTCGAGCATTTCATGCATTTTTTCCATATACATTTCATTTTTAAGCATTTTCATAAACATGACATTTCTTCATGGAGGGTTCGATGAAGTGGTCTTAACCACATGACACCACATGAAAGCAAGATTTTAAAACTTAAATCAGTACAGTGGGAGCTTGATCAGTTGATTATAGGACTAAGTATGCCAGGGTGATCTGAGAAAGGAGTCCCTATATCCTAAGGCCTATGATGTTGAAGTTGTGTGCAGTTACCACTTAGGAAGCTTCAGACACTCCTCAAAGAACTATAAGGCACCGAAGTGCAAGATCCAAAACCTGATGGATTCAGGGGCATGGATAGCCAAAGAATGGGGCATTGCATATACCATTTGCACTTAGAGCATTGTTTTGTTTGAACAGGTCTTTGATCTTTCATATTTGCTTAATCTTTTAAACGATTGAATTTGTGCTACCTTCTAAGGTGGAATAATTGAACAAATTTTAATCTTTAGTTCTTAGAATATTAAATGAATTAAATATTCTTTTAATTCTTCAAGAATTATAGATTTTTGACATATGGCAAGATTAGACCTTTCTTATCCTATCTCAAACCCAAAATAAAATACCTTGATTCTTTACCCAAAATAATTCATGGTCATTACCAAAAGACCAGATTTTGACATTACCAACCTTTAAAACTTTTTGAACCTTTCTTTGAGTCAATAAAGTCACACCACTATTTTTTTAGACTCAAAATTGACTTTTGAACATGAGCATTCTTCTAACTCGAGGCATTTCGCAGGGAGCCTGAACATTAAGACATGTCAGGACCAAGAAGTAGAAAGAAGAATTCATTCGAAATAATTCTATCATGCATTAATTACACTGTTTTCATATGAATAAAATTAATCCTGAAAATATATCCCCCTGGGGATACCTCTTATGTGAAGACTTCTATGTATGAAATGATGAACAACTTTCTTTCTTCATCCATTCACAACAGGAGAAAATATATATCTCTTGTGTCCCCTTTTGAGCCTATAGTATTTTTCTTCTAATTCAACCCTAACCAAGGATCACCCTCCACACTGGGGGACAAGGTGGAAGAAATCTTCTCACGTGAGTGAAGACATCAATCCAAAGGAGATACCAAATGCCAAGTGCGAAGATCCAATCAGAACAAAAAGAGAAAAAGAGAAGAAAAAAGCAAAGAGAAAATAAAAAAGTGAAACAAAAACAAAGGAAAAGGTGAAGAAAAAAGACAAGACACATATGCAAAGATTCACTCGATTCAAATGACGTGTCGAGATTTAAATTATGAGATTGATCAAGCACAATCATTCCAGAATCACTTCACTCGAAGATCATGGAACATCCAGAGAAAATCAAGAGAAACACATACGAGTAGTTTCAAATTGAGCAAGACAGGATTAAAGGCATCAGAATGAATTGATCATTGGTTTAATACCCTGAAACACTTATTTGGGCCTATTTATCCTTTTATTTCATAACCATGAACCATGGCCTACATTACGTGCCTTAAAAGTCCCTTCTAATCATACATGAATTTCTAAACAGAAGAGACTATCTTCAAATTTCACCCCATCCATCAAGATTAATCTTTATTTACAAAAAGTTTTTTAAAATCTTTAATGCATGATAGAGAAAAATAACAAAGGGGGTTCAAGACGTAAATTCTGAATGACGTCTTGAAACCAAAGGAGGATTCGAGTTGAAAACCTGAAAAGATGACTCGAATATAAAAATTGTGCAACTGAGGCGATCACACAAATTCCTTGATAAGGCATTGCATAATTCGAGCGTGACCATGAAAGTTGGGGGTCAGAGAACACTTCCAGTAAAGGAGCATACAAGCTACCCCATCAAACCTTTGATCATCAAATAAACAAAAATGTCAAACCTTTGACCAAACACAATAACCTGAGACTTTTTTTTACCCATTTCCCAAAGATAACTTTGATCTTGGCACTTGTCAAATAACTATAATTTATTGAAGGATTAACAATGTAATTAATTCTTTGATATCTAATGAACTCAAGTTTTATGATTCGTCTCGACTATAAAACCGTGAAAGGGGAAATATTTTCAAAACTTTTGATTAAACATTTTTTGAAACTCTTTAAATTGATATTTTCAGAACTTTGAAAATAAAAGAGAAGGAAAAACTTTTTTTTTCAAACAAGACAATTTCTCTAGAGTGGATCTTGGTAAATGACATGTGACTCTCAGGCACAAAACTCATGCTTAGAATCAATGCTGAAGCAAGAAATGAGGAACAATGAGGGCATCTTTGAAGATTTAATATCGAATATTGAGGCATATTTGGGGATTTAACATCCTGATGCGAATTATCAGATCTTCTGAAGGCCTTTTCCTCCACATGTAGGAGCAAGCAGACAAAGAATGAGGCTTCATCCAGGAGATAAAAAGAATTAATTCATGTTGCATGCATCTTAGACATCACATTTATCATTTTTAGCATACATAATTTTTTGCAGCTTTTTGAGTCAACTGTCAACTTCAAGATGAAAGATAGTCGATTCAAAAGCACATTTAAAAGTTGAGGGTAGTTGCTCGACCTCACAGCAAAAGGGTGACTGTCTGACGACAAAATAACTTTTCGAGTCTCGTTCAGAGTCAATTTCAACTTCGCAACGAAAGATATTAAACTCGAAGTGACACAATTTGTTTGAAATTGAATTTCAACTCCACGACAAAGGACATCCAACTCAAAACCAACTTTCTCAAGATTGGATTTCAACTTCACGACGGAGGATATCGTGCCCACAAATCCACGTTTTCAACTTCACGACAAAGAATATCGTGCCCATTTACATAAGATTAGATTTTAACTTCACGATGAAGGATATCCAATTCAAAGCTCAACTTCACGGTGAAGGATATTGGACTCGAAACAATATAAGCTTGGATTTCAACTTTACAACGAAGGATATTCAAGTTAAGGCTCAACTTCACAACGAATGAACCATCCATGGTTTCAACTTCACGACGAAGGGAATCGTGCTCACCAGCAACATTCATTGGATTTCAACTTCACGGCGAAGGATATCCAATTCAAGGCTGAACTTCACAATGAAGGGGTCATCCACGGTTTCAACTTCACGACGAAGGGAATCGTACCCACTAGCAACATTTATCTTCAGGAACAAGTAGATTATCGATCGCCTTTGAGATTGTTTCTCTTAAAACAAGGGGTCGTCTCGCTTGAGACTAATTTACTCAAAACAAAGTTTTGTCTCTCTTGAAACAAATTTTATCTCTCTTGAGACAGTTTCCCTTGAAACAAAATCTTTGAATATTTTTACATTAAACAAATTTTGTCTCCATTGAGACAATTTCTTTTGGAACTAAGTTTTGTCTCTCTTGAGACAGTTTCTCTTGAAACAAAATTTGCCTTTGTCTCTGTTGAGACAGTTTCTCTTGAAACAAATTTTGTCTCTCTTGAGACAGTTTCCCTTGAAACAAAGTTTTGTCTCTCTTGAGACAGTTTCTCTTGAAACACCAATCTCTGAATATGTTTCTCTTGAAATAAAATTTTGCCTTCCATGAGACAATTTCTCTTGAAACAAAAAAAAAAACCTTTGAAATTATTTCTCTTGAAACACAAAAAAAAGCTTTGAAAATGTTTCTCTTGAATTCCAAGACCTTCGAGTTCGATTACACTCAGCTTCGAGGGCACATCATTTGCAGCATAACTCAAGGCAAGAAGGGCTATCTGTCAACAAATTTTTGAGTTCGATTCAGTTCAGCTCGATGACACATCAATCACACCACTTTTCGGTTGCAGTCGAGGTTTTCAAGTCGAGAAGAAGACCTGGATTAGCCGTGCCTTAGTGACAAGCAACCATTTTCAAGCAGCATAGCTTAAGTCAAGAAAAGCTATCTGTCAACGAAGATTTCTGAGTTCGATTCTAATCCAAGAAGAAGACCGAAGGGCAACGAGAAGCCACGTGCTGATTCAAATTTCGAACTACGACTTCAATTCCATATCAAGATGAACTCGACTTCAAGACGGAGGAGTCATACGCAACTCAAATCCACAGGGAGTTATTGAAACATCAGAGTCAATTTTTAACTCCACCGTACGAAAAGTGTGTCTTTTAATCTTTTCTCTATCCCCGTTACACGACTATGGGCAAAGAGGGGCAGCTGTCAACACACCTTTTCGTCTGGTACAATACTCTCAACAACCTCGATTTAGTGAGATTTAGAAAAAAAACATAACGTTAGAAGTTTACTAGGATTCAAACTCCTAAACATAGGATAGAGTTTTACTAGAATTCAAACTCCTAAAAATAGGATAGAGTTCTACTATGATTCAAACTCCTAAAAATAAGATCCACAAGCATTATAAATAGCCATTGTAACTCGTTATTGTAACACACGATTTACATACAAAAATGCAGAGGAAAGCACGAAAACATACAAAGGCAAAGCTATTGTAAACGATTCGAAAAAGAAATAAAAGGTAGCATCTTTTTACCTTGATTCGTTCATTTCTCGCATGTGCATGTTATTTTTCTTGAGATTTGGTTCGAATAACCCAAAACGTAGGTTGCGCCGATGACCAAAAAAGGGTGGAGTTTTGAAGTTTCGAACCTAGATCTACCCCCGAGGTGTGTTTCTGTTTTTAAATACTTAATTCTCCTCCCTAAATCAATTTTTTTTGCTTCTAAATTTGCCCATCGATTTGTTTTTCCTTTTGATTCGGTCCCTTACATTTACGTTTTAATTATTATTATTTATTTATTTAACTTTATTTATACGCACATTTCCCTTATTACTCATTTTATTTAATTGCTTTGTTATTTTTCTTTTCTTTTTTTCATGTAATTTTTTTACATTTTATTCATTTCCTTTTTTACTTTAGTATATATTTTATTTTTTAGATTACATATATATATATGTTCTTTTTATTATTTGTTTTATAAATTTATATATATATATATACTATTTTTTTATGTTTTTATTTATTATATATATATATATATATTATTTTAACTTTTTTATTATTATTTTATTTATTTGTTTTATTTCTATATTTTTTTCTTCTTTTTCTTTATTTTTTATTTATTTTACTCACTATTTTATCTTTACTTTCTTTATCTTATCTTTTATTTAATTTGTTTTTTCTTCATTTTAATTTTATTTATTTATTTATTTCTTACCTTTTTATCTAATGTGGTTTTTTGACATTCTTAAGGGCACACCTTTAAAACTATCTAAGATAAGTAATTGGGATCATATTTTTACCTTTTAATTTTAAATTATAATTTTCTTAATTTAAGACAACTGGAAATTGCGTAGTACCGAAAGGGCAGTTCAAGGGTGCTAACCCTTCATTGACTGTAACCGACTCCCGAATCTGACACATCTTTGGAAAGACGCAGATTAGGTAAGAAATAGGGTATCCGATCAACCCATTTGTTTTAAAATAAATTATCGGTGTCGACTCCAATTCGTTTAATCCAAGTTGAAGCCCAATTTCGGGCCCAACCGAAAGACGGTTTTGACAGTACGGACTGTGTTTCCGAAGATTTTTGTTTCTCGTGATCCTTGTCTCTTTGGACCGTGTTCTGAGCCTTTCTCATGGTGTGTAACAGTGTGAGCTTATCATTTTAAATTTTTAATGAATAAACGACAAATATATGACGATGAGTTGTTATCCCCCGAAAAAAGTGAAAATGTATTCAATTCAACAATATTCATAAATTATAACGACTACATGTAATTATAACTAAATTAATTATGATTTTTGAAATGTTTCTTAATTTCATTTTTTTGTATTTCTTTTAAATCTTATCTATGTCTATTTGTTAATTTAATTTGTTTGTTTATTGTTATGTTTTGAAATACGACGCTTCATTATAATTTGAGTATTGTACAAACTTATTTTTATCTTTATAATTATTATCTTATCAAGATAAGGATGATCAAACTGCTTATTATTTAAATTAATCTCGTTGGTATAATATCTTTCAACAAAATTAGGATGCGAATTGGCAGTGGATATGAAATGTTATTTTTACATTCATTTTTGTCAATAATTTTTATTTTTATTGATGAGTGTAACACAACACCATTAAACCATGATGATCGTCGGTAAATATGTCAGTCATTGGACTCTCAATAGATAATGGACATGCATCTATTGGGAATCCAACATTTGACATACTTGCACGAGATCATCATGGTTTAGTGGTGGCATGTCGTGCTATCCCCAATTCTAGTCCATACGACATTACATTATCGAGACGGTTGTTACCACCTGCAATATTCGTTGGGAACATGTTCAACAAAAGATAAATGCCAGAGATGCAGTAATTCGAGACTTCTTGGGCCAATACAAAAAGCAACTTAACATTTGCACGGTTCATCCAGAGAAGTCGGAGCGGTTCGACAGGTTATTCAACCGGTGACAGACTAAGGCAGAAGACTAGTCAACATGTTAGAAGCTGTCAGAATATTTTTGTCTCTTGAAAGATAAAACATTTTTATCCCCAATAAGGATTATTTATAATAACATACATGTTTTCGGATTAATTCCTCGAGCATTTCATGCATTTTTTTCCATCTACATTTCATTTTTAAGCAATTTCATAAACATGACATTTCTTCATGGAGGGTTCGATGAAGTGGTCTTAACCACATGACACCACATGAAGGCAAGATTTTAAAACTTAAATCAATACAGTGGGAGCTTGATCAGTTTATTATAGGACTAAGCCTGCCAGGGTGATCTGAGAAAGGAGTCCCTATATCCTAAGGGCTATGATGTTGAAGTTGTGTGCAGTTACCACATAGGAAGCTTCAGACACTCCTCAAAGAACTATAAGGCACCGAAGCGCAAGATCCAAAACCTGATGGATTCAGGGGCATGGACAGCCGAAGAAGGGGGCATTGCATATACCATTTGTACTTAGAGCATTGTTTTGTTTGAATAGGTCTTTGATCTTTCATATTTGCTTAATCTTTTAAACGATTGAATTTGTGCTACCTTCTAAGGTGGAATAATTGAACAAATTTTAATCTTTAGTTCTTCGAATATTAAATGAATTAAATATTCTTTTAATTCTTCAAGAATTATAGATTTTTGACATATGGCAAGATCAGACCTTTCTTATCCTATCTCAAACCCAAAATAAAATACCTTGATTCTTTACCCAAAATAATTCATGGTCATTACCAAAAGACCAGATTTTGACATTACCACCCTTTGAAACTTTTGAACCTTTCTTTGAGTCAATAAAGTCACATCACTGTCTTTTTAGACCTAAAATTGACTTTTGAACATGAGCATTCTTCTAACTCGAGGCATTTCGCAGAGAGCCTGAACATTAAGACATGTTAGGACCAAGAAGTAGAAAGAAGAATTCATTCGAAATAATTCTATCATGCATTAATTACACTGTTTTCATATGAATAAAATTAATCCTAAAAATCTATCCCCCTGGGGATACCTCTTATGTGAAGACTTCCATGTATGAAATGATGAACGACTTTCTTTCTTCATCCATTCACAACAGGAGAAGATATATATCCCTTGTGTCCCCTT